TTTTTTTTTTTTTTTCTTCAAAAAGTTTTCCTGATCTTTTTGGGTAAAAAAAATCTTCAAGCATTTTGCTAGCAAAAATTTTTTAATCTAAAACAAGTCTGGATAAGTCGTTCTTGCTTTCTTCTTACGCCTTACTCTTGACTCCTAAGATTCCTTACGTCTTGCTTGTAACAGGTATGTTGCCGACTTGATGCCATGGGTGTGTAGCAGTTTTTAAATTCTTCACCGAATAATTCCATGTAAATCCGATTACCTGCCATATTGCTTTAAATGACGGTTGAAAAAACAATTTTAAATCTTTTAATGGTTTTAGAACAGTTATTTCTTCAGCAGTTTCATTTGTGTCCGTCAAATAAGTGGTGTTGAAGGGTATCCTGGATACAAACGGTAGTTAGCAAAAGATGATGGACTTGAAAATTATTGTAAGAAAAAGACAAGTATCAAAATTACTGTCTCAGAAGTGGCAAAACAGAGAACCGTAGCACGTCCATTGCACATCAAAATCTGACAAAAACGACGCCGATAGATGGAATGAATGCGCGACGTTACAAAATATTTGCGCAGTAAACCGTTAAAAAGTTGTTAAAAAGTTTGGCTAAAGACTGTAGAAGTTGAACAAAAGGTACTTAAGAATTCTTTGTAGAAAAGATCAGGGTAACTTTTTAACGACGGAAAGCAGATATTCTATACAATGAGGGCGATAGAGCGAAAATAACGCCTATGTATTTTGAAGTTTGTTTTCACTGCAGGGGGGGACGACAGCAGGGCTTCCGTTTAGGTTCCCTGTTCACGTTTCATCATCATTTTTACAAAATTGTGTTAGAAACATTCGAGGAAGTCGTATCTTTTAGTTGATTCACACTTGTTTATTCTTTATTTTTTTTTTTGCGAGAAGAATACCTGTTAATTTTTAATTATTATTTATGGTTTGTATACTTCTGTTACTTTCAGTTTCTGTGATTGTTTCTAATTTCTCAACTTTCTTTTGACATCAATGTTATATCGCACTTGTGTTTCTGAGCATCTAATTTTGTATTATGAAGGCTATTATTTGCTGTGACTGTAATTTAAATGAATATAATGAAGACAAATGAGTAACGGACTGATTCCCGACTATCAAATTGTTCGTTTACGACTTTAAAGACTGTCAAAGATTTTTGCTGTTTAAAAGGTTTTTTTTGAAAAAACTGAGACGGTCGCAGTGATTTATTGGAGTGACTATTCTCTTTTTGGGTTTTTTTTTTTTGTTTTTGGTCTTCTAAATTAACTTTCTGTCTTTCATTTAGTTTTTTATCACCTTCAAATAACCATAGTAGCCCACTTCTTAGAAAAAATAATTGATGTATTGTATTGCCGAGTCGCCTCTTGAATGTTTTTTCAGCTCGTTGAATTGATCTGTTTTTCAGCTTTTATATTTAAAAGGCCTTACTGTTGTTGTCAAATTTTCTTAGCTTCTATTTTTGATCCTTTCTATCTATTATAAGAAGAATATTCTTGGAAATCTCATTGCAAGATGTTTTGAAGTTGTAGAGAAAAAGGTGTTAACACTAACGTTCTTGAGTCTAAGTTTTGTTCTGGCGCAATGGTTGAGAAACGGCTGAATTCGCATGTTTTTCTATTGAACTAAGACCTTTTTTAAGTCGACAACGATCAGCAACTTAACTTTCTGTAAGGTTACTGAAATGGCTGTTGAATGTCATTTAAGAATTGAGGAACACGGTCGAGAAGGAGTCGAGATTCATGCAACTGTTTTTTCTCTTCAATTTTTTTTGGGAAATGCTTCTTTTTAACGCTCTTTTTCCAGTGTAACTTTTTTACTAGATGTTATCTTGTTGGCGAGTTCTTATCTATATTATTTCAAACTCATTTTGTTACAGTAACGGTGACTGCATGAAACGAGTAGTGAATAACGATAAAATCACAGTAAGGGCTAATAGAATTCCTCCCAAATTTGAATCAAGCTCAACCAGGGCAACGAAGGAGTCAAGTAAATTTGTTAATATTGCTTGTTAATTGACATTTGTTTCAGTAGGTTGTATGAGGGTTTGCCTAAAGTTTTTTTACTTCTGAAATGTAGATGAAATGGTTGGTAGATTTTTTGCGTTTGAAAAATTAGTTTTGGGGTTTATGGAACATTTTTGAT